GGGATGCCGTTTTTTGTTGTCGGGAAGTGAGCGTGCTTTACAGCTCCGCCACTAATGAGGAGATTTGGTAGTGGTCGGTTAGAGTCAACGGCTTAGCGGTGCCAACCGCTAGTTGTACAACGTGCAATGGGAAGTGAGCGTGCTTACTGCTCCGGTACTTATCTGGAATAGGGAGTGTATACTGTACGTACACCCGGGGCGGCTCACCCAAGGCATTAGTCTCTTGAGAACCGGATAAAGTCAGTGACAACGGTCTGTGACAACCCTGTAGATCTGTGGTCAGAACCTGAATTAAGGTTCCTGTGCGTGCACAGGTTATAGTGCCCTTCCCGCATAATAGGGTCACTATAATAAAAAAATACGTAGAAAAGGTATGGGAGCTGCTCATTCGTAAGGCAGATTCCCCTGAGAAGACCGAGCAAGAAACGATAGGAAATGATCTTTGTAAATAAATATTTGTACACATTTGTCATTTATAATATTTATTTCACATATGATCGATGACTACAACGTGCAAGAGTTTAATATTTTTGTCATCTAAGAAAAAAAACAGTTTCATTTTTATATGTATGGACTGCCTCTGCGGCCGAACGGTTGCGGAACGGGTTCTATTCCCGGGCCGGGAGAAATATTTATACAGGGTCTTCCTAGTGCGGGGCTATAAAAAAATTGTTGTAGCAAACGCGACTCGATTGCATATAGTATAAATACATGAAGTAGTTACGTTGGTATATTACAAACAATAACCAGGTACCACAGAATTGCCTAGATCAACGCGTAAATACAGACTCGAAGATGAATCGACAATAATGAAGTACCAGGCTAGCAGTGTAGTGTGCAGGAGATTAGTCGCTATCACACGGCTCGGTACACATTGACAGTGAACTAAGGAAAATGGGCACGTGGCTGGACATAATGAACAAGTGCATATGGAATCCGTACATTTTATAATAATCTACGTTCAGCGGTTCAAATGGCAATTAATAAGTAGAGTTTAAAAGTTTGTTTGCAATTAGGAAAACTGCATGAGCAGTACAGGCTGAGTGGGCGAGCTTAATTTGCAATAAAAGTGCTGTTGTAAATACTACCATTCAGCATATTTGCAATTGCGATGCCGTACGAATAGAGTCTGTCAACTGTCTTGCCAATTAGGTGTCGATTACAGATATAATACCTTGATTTTAATTAGTGTCATTTCTTCGTGGAAACAACGTAAACGTACAGCGTTTTAAAAAACGATACAACGTCTGAGATGACGAACAAGAGTGAGACGGTCTCTTGACAGTGTCGTGGCAATAGTTACGTTTATGTAAAGCGAACGTTTTTTCCTTGCCATGGTTTTAAAGATAATCCTACAAATAACATTTTCGTAAATATACTGTGACGCTAGTGTAACAAAGTTAATCTCTTTCAACTTATCTTCCAAAGACACTCTGGGGTCCAGATTGTAAATTGTTCTAACTGCACGTTTGTGTAGGAACAAGGGTTCTATTAACATCGGCGGCATTACAGCAAAATGCCGTATGTCATTTAACCCATTGACTGCCGAAGGTAATCTACAAGCCGAAATCGGTGGCCACCATACAAATGGTCTTCTACGCAACAATACGTAGCCGGCATCGCAGATAAAATTCTTACTGCGGGTGCCAATATACGCAATATTGCGTATACGTAATGATGCGAACTTCGGCACCTCGGATCAAAAACAATGCTCATTACCTATCCTGCTCACTCCTGTAATAATTAAATACGCCCCCC